CTGATGGCAACATGGTCTATTTGAGTCCATCGTTGGTTTGGTGTAGGGGGTCGCCATGTTAGACGATGTCTCTCCTTATGCTTAAAATTTGTGTTTGCTAAAAATAAGCGATTGTCTATATAAAAACACCTCAGGCAAAGTAAGGGCATACAACCACTTCTGTCCATTGTTCCATTCGAGCAGTGAGGTTAGGCAGGGTTGCCCAATCTCACCATTCCTCTTCAACTTTGCCATCGATGACATTCTGGAAACAGCTCTAATGGATGTAAGTAATGGCGGTGTGGATCTGTTGCCTGGAGAAAGACTTCTCGACCTTGAGTATGCGGATTATATTGTCTTACTGTGCAATAATGCCCAAGGCATGCAATGCGCACTTAATCAGTTGGCAACCAGTGTCCGTAGGTATGGTGTGTGCTTTGCACCTTCGAAGTGCAAAGTACTTCTACAAGACTGGCAGGATTCCAATCCTGTACTCACCCTGGATGGTGAGCAGATAGAAGTAGTCGAGAAGTTCGTGTATCTGGGTAGCTGCATAAGTGCTGGTGGGGGTGTGAGTGATGAGATCAATGCACGTATAGTGAAAGCCAGAGCGGCTTATGCCAATCTGGGCCACCTTTGGCGCCTTCGTGATGTTAGTCTGGCTGTAAAAGGTCGGATCTACAACGCGTCGGTGAGAGCAGTTTTGCTCTATGCTTGTGAAACCTGGTCTCTCCGAGTTGAGGACGTTAGACGACTATCTGTGTTCGATCATCGCTGTCTCCGAAGGATTGCTGACATTCAGTGGCAACACCATGTCAGTAATGCAGAGGTTCGGCATCGTGTGTTCGGGCACAGAGATGATAATTCAATTGGTGTCACCATCTTGAAACACCGACTTCGGTGGCTTGGACATGTTCTCCGAATGTCGTCCCAGAGAATTCCACGTCGTGCATTATTTGCCGACTCTGGGACTGGTTGGAAGAAGCGGAGAGGTGGTCAGTGCATGACATGGTGTCGTGGTATGAAAGAAAGCTGCAAAGGACTGGCTTGTGTTGGTCCTTCACGACTCCCTGGTTGGGGTCCGAGAGATGGTGCAACACAATGGCTAGAGACGTTATCAGATATGGCTCAGAATAGAAGCCAGTAGCGATCCTGTTGTAACCTTTTACTTTCTTCATAAAAGTGGTTGTGTCTTCCTTAACTAAAGGGTTTCTTCTGATTGTACCTTTCCGTCCCCTCATTACTACCACACTACCTTACACCAATCTCTTCGTTATTGTTCTCTTTTTTTACGCTCCTTACCTTTTTTTTCTTTTCTCTTCGAATTCTCATTGTTTTGTGTGGCGCATATATATTTTGCGCTCTCTTGTACCAATATTTATGTGTTCAAGTGAATAATTAAATAAATAAATAGTTCACATTTTAGAACAGTCTAAAGCTGACAGATATTGTCTCGTACACAAAGAAATACATTTCCGATTTCGATCAGCATTACTTTTATAACTATCAAAAATACAATAGGACTTCTTATTGGAGTATGTGCTGATGATGTCAAGAAAGACAAGGAAATTTCCATTGTTAAACAGTCGAGCTAAAAAACGCCATCGAAATCCTCGTCTTGAACTATAAACATCCTCTCTCATTTCAATATTACAATAAGTTTTCGATGACTCAGAAATAATAATGATAATAATGAAATCCATCCCTAAGTGAACAACATACTTTAGATGCTAGCAACAAGGCAGTTAAACTTAGATCCGCCATAGAATAACCCGAACTATTGGATAACCGCAAACTATGATGTAAACTATTATCATGAAATTCTACTTCTATACTTCCTCCAGAAAACTGATTCGATGCATCATCCTCTGACTGATATTCAGCAGTATCCCTGAACTGTGTCACGATACCGATTCTATTCCATACCATGAAACGTTCGCGAAAACCTGGCGTTGAAAAATAGATAATAAATAAAACGCGATATAAAATCCAGTGAAAAAAAATCAAATATACAACGTCACATATTTTGACTAATACATACAGTTAGTATTTATTGATGAAACAGCTTAGGGGGTCAGATATCTCAGTTTGACTTTACATCTTATCTAAAATAAAAAATAAGTCTCTTAAGATGACTGACGGAAACAAAGGTATTTGTTCGCGTGATTAATAACATGATTCCAGTTCCTGGGAGTATTATATGCTGTTTTTGGATAAGTAAATACAGAAAACAACATATTTTTTTCCATGTACAGCCGCCGTACTTTTTATCTGAGGTAGGAAACAATATATTTTTACACAATATTAAAGTAGAAAGTTCACTAGTGAGTTCATTTTTATCAAATCTCAATTTAATACAAAGTATACAATATTATCAGTTTCTAAGGACAATTAGAAAACTGGCAATATGCATGTTTCATTGATATAATGGTTCCGATTGCCATGTAGTCCCGAACTAAAGGCATTTGGTCATACCAATAAAATCAAAAGAATATGAAGGAGATTAAAGGGATATTAAATGACGATATAAAGTCTCTAGACGATTGGTATTATTAATCTATGTATACGAGTATTTTTACAGGACTTGATTTGAATTTAGATAAAAAGAAATATTCACATAACTATGTGAAGCCTTCACATATTGTAAGTTTTAAAATCAAACATATAAACAAATACACTTGATGCCACTGTTTGCCCAAATCCATAGAACCACCTAAGGAAGGCATGTTCATATGGTCGTTTTTTCACCCAAACTACAACAAAAATACTTTTTGCTCACCAAGTGGTGTTGCACCTGACTGGAAAGCCTTCTGCAAAGGTCGTATTGTGACGTTATCCTTTTTTGGACATATATTATCTTCTGTAGTAAGAACAGTAGCTTTGGTTTCTATTTTTGCAGGGGTTTGTTTCACCTCAGCTTCATCATTGAGTGACATGTAATCGGACTTGATTCGAGATAGATCAATGGAATCAGAATTACTATCATCCTCGTTTGAGTGGGGGATGACATCGTCGTCACCTAAAAGTCTGCTAGATTCCGCCTGAGCTGCAGCAGCACTTAAAAGATCGGCAGTATCACCATCTTCATCACAACCCATTAACTGAGCTATTCTATTTGGAGACAATGAATCTCTAGAAGGCTTGGAGAATTAGAACGACAAAAAACAGCACCAACAGATAGATATACCATTTTAAAAATGTTAGTATAAAGAAATCACACAAAACATGGTCACGAGACCATGAGGTTCTCAGTGTACTTTCACAAGGAAGCGTTTGATATTAATCAAAATGGTACTATTTGAGAATACACCATCAAACTTAAAACAAGTGTAGTTTGAATTTTACACATCGAAATAAAACACGTGAAATTTATTATTACGTAACTTAAAGACATTTAAGGAACTTAAAACATATGACTGCTAAACTATATGATTAACTGGGATACTTAGCAGTTAGAAAACCAACACGACACGTTTCGAAAACAATCGCAATTGTACATATGCAGTTGCTCTGGACTTTTAAATCCTGGATGTTTAGTGGCCTTTATTGATTTCCTCCCTTTAACCAAGTAAACCCAATATTTATCTCAGCGTCTCACGATTTTTTCACCTGTGATACTAATCAAATATCAGTAGTTTGGTTTTTTTTCTTTTTACGAGTCATGCTCCATAACCTCATGTAAAGTTCTGCACTGCATCTTCATCTAATGACAGATATTCTTAAGTTTCCTGTAACTGTTATATAATACATCATAGTGCTAACACTTGTTATGAATGGGTCAAGATTTTGCAAGCCCAAATTTAATTAGTTGCAAAGTAAATGGGGTAAACAATACGCTAAACTACTTTGCTAGCAATACTCAAACAAAACACCAGCGCAGACTAGTTTAGAGCAATATTCTGGACACAGAAAAACCACCCCTAAACATTTTGTCATTATCAATTAGGGTTACAAGAATGAATCCTATCAAAACCATTTCCTTGGAACTTATGACAGTTTTCGCTTTCTTGTGGTTGATAACATGGGTTTAAATAGGTAGCTGATATTTAACATTTTTAATTTTGAGAATTGTCAACTGCTGAAACGAATTTTGGTAGATCCAATACTGGCACTAATAATGTTTAAAACAATAGAAAGAAATACCTGATGGTCTGGAGAGTGAACAAGTCCCACAGATCCATTTTCGTTCGCGAATAGAAGATTTTTGTCAAGAGGATGCCAAAATAAGCTACAAATCCGACTATGAGACGGATCACGAATACTATTAACGAAAAATTTGAAAGTTATTCAGTATGTCAATTCCGAATAGCACTGAAAAGTCAGGAAATAAATTACTTATTTCGAGCGATTACTAAACATACTGACGTAGTGTCGTAAGGTGAATAATAATCAAGCATTTAGAAAAACGTAACAAATTAGAAGGAAAAACCACGTGGATAAATCTGAACATGAAGGCTGTTCTGATTGAACGACCCGAGTCCACAAGAAAGCCAATAGTGGGGCTTATTGTCGATCTATTTACATTTCTCTCCGACCATGTTGGATAACGTGGGTCACCTTTTCGTCTAATCCTAGACATGTTTGGATTCTTTTACAGACGTGCAACAAAATGACGAAGATTCCCGGTAGCCGCCTATATATACCTCCGTAAGAAGTAATTTAACTACTAACTTTGTGTTTGGATACGGACCACAGCTATGAACAGCAGATTCATAGCGCCGAAATTCATCGTTGGAAATTGAGTTAAGACTACTTGTCTTAAAGCAGTTATCCAAATACGTAACTCGGCAATCATAGGTCTATCGGTCCAGTAATGTTACGGTATATGTTTAGTGACAGCCAACAACAATATATAAAGCAGAAAGAAAGTGACCAACCAGCTGGATGAGTACTTAAATTTACGAAGATTTTGGCGAGACCATAATTTATGATCAAACCAATCACATTTAAGATAGATCTTGAAGCGAAATTCGTTTAGTCATTCGGCCAAATACCATTTTGGCATTATAGATGGTGTCAGTTCGTGATGATAACATCAAATCTAATTCTTGACCCTAACATTCAACTGTAAATCCTAACCTTAATTCCTCACACTAATATATAACCCTTATTTAACCCTGGTAAGTAGGTGGACATATCAAGGTCATTTCAGCGTTGCCCAAATGCCCTGGTACGGCCGAGAGTGGGGAGAGTCCGCTCTCCCTCTCGAAATACTCTCACACGGTTGCGCGTATATAGCCTCTGCCAGGGAAGTCCTACTCACTGCCTTCTCGTGGCGGGGGGTGTTGTTTGCGAAAATGAGAGGACGAAAAGCGAATGTCCGGCGCTTTAACCGGATCACAAACCAATGGTGCGCATGGGCTACAGTATCCTGCGGGAACAAATGGCATATGAACCAACTGTTGGTCACCGGCTTCTATGGGACTGCATCTCCTTACGATGCTCCACTGCATTGTGGATCAGACTTTCAGGTCGAAGGCTCGGGGAGTGGTCCCCTAAGAAGACCACCTGCTTCGGTTTGGGCACCCGGGCAGTATCACAGCCCTCACACATATCGAATGTGATTTGTGTGGCGCATATGTATTTGGTGCCTCCTTGTACCAATGTCTGTGTTAAAATAAATAAATAAATAAAAATATGTGTTAAAATAAATAAATAAATAATGGTCTAACCAAGATTTTAATAGGTATGTCAGACACACGAAATATCATACCGATGAATTGCTTGTCTGTCTTCAACACGCCAAACAATAATCCACCCATCTAATGATCCACCTGAAATAAGATTGCCATCCCGTGAAGAAGCGCATATATTGTATGCACGAGTGACTGAAGGGCAGGATAGGGAGCAAAGCAAACTCCAGCACACTCGTTCAAACATTTTGATTTCTTTATCAACCGGCACGAGTAAAAACTGGTAAATCGAACATGAATGGAAATGGACAAACCTTCCCAACTGTGCTCTCCCAGCATAATCTACAGGAACTTGGAGCAAAGAGAGGATCATTACATTTCGCAAGTGTATAAATGCACTTTTTTTCCTCCCCAATTATTAAATCCCAGAGACGGACACTGCCATCGCATGAAGCAGAGGCTACGAATACATCGAGAGGATCAAAAGCCACACTCAGAACAGCTCCTTGATGTCCCTTGAAAACCAATTCCCGGTCATTATCATGACCGGAAAGATCCACAACCTTGACTGAGAAATCACTACTAATATAAACCAAGTGAAGCGATATCCTACCTACTGCATAGAGCTATCTTACTAAGGTCTTTGTTCATGGCTAAATGGTTGACTTCTGCAGTAAAACGGGTAGCCACACCATCAGGAAGACCATCTTCCATCTGAAGAATGTGGACGTAAGTTCCCTCAGTAGCAACAATGACGTTTTCATACTATTCCGAAGTTAAAATTATTGCCAAATACCTACTCGGCAAGCAATAGCATTGATTTTTTCTCCAACGATGTGTTCCACTGGACAAGCGTCATCAAGTGACTCGAAGATTTTGATTTTCCCATCTGATCCACCAGTAACTATACGGCTGAAGAACACTACATACGGCCAAAACATAAAGTCTTACCGTCCATGGACATCATAAACTGCCGAAGTTAGTCCCTTCTTGTGAACATTAACAGGCCCCTCGGTTATAGACATCAATACATCAACTATCCCGCCGAATGAGGGTTTTTTAAATAGTGTTGCAGCCAAACGAATCTTCAAACCTAAAACTTTGCTAGAGAGGATTAATGAACTGTTTATTCCTTCAATGATTGCAGCTGGGTAGTGGGGGAACATTCTCGGTAATAGAGAGGTAAGGTTGCTGTCACTTTTTATAGAAACTATAGGATGAGAACAAATTAACTAACAAAAGAAGTGATCATGGAACAACACCTGTAGTAATCAATCTCAATGCCTAAGAAACTAAAGCAATAATCCAAACTTATTGGGGGAAATTTAGGAGAACGTGCTGATACCATTCCGTCCTTTAGGAAGTCCTACAACCTAATCGGAGCAATTACTTTTATTGATATCATGAATGGATCAGTGCTAGATCACCATTGAAAACCTGGCTTCTAGAGGCGTTTCCTGGATTTCTAGAGAGGAGCCATAACCAGTAAAGTTCAACCGGGTCCGTTGTGAGGTAGTAACTCACTGAAGACAATGGTGGACGGCAGCGCAATATCGTGGATTGGTTGAAGTTAGATATTAACATCGTTGAATGCCAGCTCAATGCGCTAGAGGTTCGAACCCGAAGGTTCTGGGTTTGAGTTACACGTGCGGGGTCGTGAATGAGTACTGCTGAGGAGTCCCCTATCACGACAAGACGGCCATCCAGTGCTTCCAGGTTTTTGATGGTTGTCTAACATTGGTCGATTCACGATATCGAACTAAACTCAACACTATCCACAGCCCTATAGTGATAATTATTCGTATACTTCCATTGAATCTATATCTGATCGTCAAATGGGCATTATAACCTGATCAACTGCTTTTGATTTCGCTATGCGCCTCCGTTATTCATGAACCTGCTACTTGCATTCATGTATGTGATGAAACTCAAAAAGTGAGTGGGATTCGCTAGCTGCGAATTGCGAATAGGGGTGGGACACCTAAAATCTTGCAGAAAGTGATGTCTTGGATATTTTCGTTCGTAGAAAGTGTAGTACTGAAGTCATGAAGGAGCAAGAGGTGTATTGAGTATTTTCGCTCTTATCATAAAGACAACGAATTTATTGGTATCTATGAGGTTTCTGTTAGTCCAGTCATTTCCATTATATTCATCATCATGAGAGTCAAGGTATATTCTTGGTCAAGCATTTTCCTTAAAAACTTTGAACAATCCGTACGTGGCAGAATTAGAGGGTTGGGGGAAGTATGTTAGTAAGTGGTAAACAATAAGAATAATTCAAAAATCTAGCCTTATGAAATTTAGTTTGTCACCGAGAAACAATCAGACAAAGTAGATCGAACTTTGACAGCTTGTGATACCCTTCTTAAGATATTTTATTAGATTCCAACTTACACATAATTCAGTTTTTAAGAGCAAAGATAGTGCTCTATTCTGAGAAATCTCTTAGAGAAATCTAGAAGGCTGATATGCACCGGATAATTTTGCACCGATGAGAGAGTTCAACTGTTCCATGCGCCAATCAGACTAGTGTAACAGGTTTTACCAAATAGATTTCCTTTTTAAAATTCTGAAATAACAATAATCATAAATAATGACTTCATGTTGCTCTAAGTATGTTGCACCAAACAAGATAAGATTATCTCTGATAACCTTCGGACAGTGAATGTAAAAATTCTTGCGAATAAATTCTTTTGGAAATATCAAGGCTTTTTTGGTAGTGATTGTGGTAGTTTTGTAACAGCTTAGGTTGGTTGGTTAAGAGTTGACCTCAAACAAACAAGCATATGCCAAAAAAGTATAGTTCAAGTCTTCATTCACTTCCTTATTTTGTATAGGTGTTACATTTCCTATTATCTTATATTGAATGTTGAGAGGCTTTGTTAGTCTGAACAAATGATCCCACGCTCCACCGTGACTGCGTGAAGATATAAATAAATACCTATTCACTACTTGTCTGATTTCTTCTATCAATAGCACGAGGGTTGCCTGGGGTTCCCTACGATTAAGCTGCCTACAGTACAGACGTTTCAACTTTTGTGTCGAAAATTCCAAGTTCGATGACAGTTCGTTTGAGTGTCAGATATTTTTTAATTATAGCAATGTTGCCCTTGCTTCGACAGTTTGTGCCTTGACATTTGCATCAAAATCCTCTTGTTTATCAATAATGCTAACCCAAGTACGTAAAAATTTCCATCGCTTCAAAAGCTTCGCTATCAAGTTTAATTTATGTGAAGCTTGTCGTGTTGTACTTCAGGATGTTGCTTATTCCCATCTGAATGTTGAGAATTACTCTCACAAGAGCTGATGTTACACTACCTATCTTTCTCTGAGTCTGTTGCCATGTCCACTATATTCCGTGCTCCTCTTGAGGTATGTATATCTTCGTAATCTATTCGACAGGCCGAAGCAAGAGAAGAGACTAGAGTGGGAAACCTTGTCTAACATCATTCCTTACCTGAAATGGATTTGTGAGCTACTCTCAATGAGTGACTTTGCAATTCACCTCTTCGTAGAAGTTCTCTATGAAGATGATGACGATGACGATTTTCGCATGTACTCCATAGTGTCGAAGAAGACTTCACGAGATATTTCTATCCACAATGTTGAGTGATCTTTCATAAACAAAGGAGTTGATAAATAGTGTTAGGTTTCATTCGGTTGATTGTTCAGCTATGATTCACATTGCTACACGTAAGCCGATACGCCATCAGTCTTTGAGCATGCCGGTTTGTCAGTCTCAAAGTGTTAAGCTTCAACTGATTCTTTTTTTCGTTTAGCAACTCTGCAGGAAACTGTTGATGGTACATATTGTATTGAGATGCTTCTGTAGACTTCACACTTTTCAAAGTCACTTTTCCCCAGTGCTTTAAGGAAGTATCCATCTTACCAATCTTTTAGTCCTTATTATTTTTTTGAAATCTTACAGTAGAGAACATGTGCAATTCTACGTCTGACTACTTGGCTTCTGTTGGTATGCCTTCCCGTTCTTTGAATGCCTAATGCACTCGCCTGTTTGTACTTTTATTGGTGAGGTATCACCAGAACATAGATTTATGTATTTTGCTTCATTGTCTGATTGGCTCAGTGGAGCTAGTGTATTTAAGATCTAATCAAACAAATATACACACTTATTTCGGTTCCATTTAACCTCCTGGCACTTTGAGATTACTGTGTAAATTGAGAAAGCTAGATGAATGAAATAAAGTGATTATATTCTTGAAAACGTGTTTGTATTCCAGTGTAGAACACTCATGGATTTATTGTAATCCGAAAATCGCAGCCTCAGTAAAGTTTTTCTACCCAGTCTTCTATAAACTTGCTAGCATTTTCTGCATCTACTTAGGGCTAGTTCTGGTCTAAAGAACAGGCAGAAGAGGAGGATTAGGTGTACGTTTAATAACCGCACCTTGAAAAAGTAACTTCGCCAGAAAAAGACTGCAGAAATAATTGAAACCATTTACCCTGTGTTCTGTGTTTAGTTAGAAAATATACAGTGTCTTTTAGTAAGTACGTAAGCCTTTGACAGCTACAAAGCTAGTGTCCCTTCTGACAACTAGGGCAACGACCAACATAGGTACGTGTGATGCTCGGACAATGTAGAGGAAAGAACTGGTAAATAAGAAAGCCGCAGAGACGGCAATATATGACCTGAGTTGACTTAATACGAGTGAAACCCAGAAGACACAACCTAGACAAAAGAGACTAACCCCAGCAGTGATGCTGTTATATCCCATCCATGTAACATACTGTTATTTGAGAATAAATTATTATTATTATTATAAACGAGAAACCATTCTACGATGATGCTCTCCGAAGAAGCATGAAAAAGTCTCATAGGATGAAAATATTTTAAATTCGAGGTCAATGGTGCACGCCCGGAAACAAAGTAGTAACATATTACAATAAATGTCATTTAGCGATACACACACTCCTGTGATAACACAAAAGATGATAAACATCAATTTAGTGAGACACTGCTGCCTATCATAGAGAAGTCCCCAGGAAAAGAACTAACGGCCCTGATGTAAGACCTGTACCACAAGGTCAAGATGGATCAATCACATCAACAAATAACTGAACTATGTTGTCTGGAAAAAAGAAATTGAAGTGGTAACAATGTGGTAACAACGTAGATTATCTATGTCGAATGATTGGAGACCTATTTGAGTTAGACGGGAATGGCGTGACCGACAGCTGACTTCGAAGTCACACCTCGCGGTCAGCACCTAACTTGGATTACCTCTTCGTCGTATCAAGATGCTATGATTGCTTTAAAGATCATATCACACAAAGCATGTTATTACGGAAATGTATTAGTAAAAGCATGTACAAGGGAGACATTGAGACCCTCACCACAGGAGCCAATCCATGGTGCGCAATTAACTGATGCGCATTGGCTGTCCTTGATCTTGGTAGAGACCGACAAACTGTTCGACGTTCAGCAATCCAAGTGCTGTATGATTTCGTTAGGGCTCAATGACATTTCACTGGCCCTAGACAGTCAACCATGTGCCCGGCCTAAACAGACTCCTAATAATAAATGAAAAGAATCCCCCATCAGGCCACGGCGACTGAGGAGTGCCTAAGTAGTCGCTTGTTTCATGTTGGGGATAGACATTCAGGCTTGAATATTTCAGTAGATACTCGTGCTGCTCTTGGTATCAATCCTCAGAGCAAAACTGAGCTGGGTGGGAAAAATTCTCCAGTAAAGCTTCCAGCTACTATCAAGGCTAAGGTTGCGACGTTCGGGCAGAAAGGCTTGACGCTAGGCTCGTGGTTCAGGAGGCAATTTTCGTGGGTGTTCACCGTGGCCTATTTAGTTTGGGCAATCCTGAGAATGGTCTTTTGAGAGAGATATGAATTTCTAGTCGACACTAAAAAACGACGTTTGATACTGAAGAAAACTCCGAGTTACACAAAAGGCAGAGAAAGTCATATCGTTTCTCTAAATTCGATACATACTCCACCAGTAACCACTGCGAAATTCTAGGATATACTCGCAGCATTTTCAAACCTTACCAGG